AGAGCTGCCACATACTAGCCACTAACTAGCTTGGGCAAGAGTGCGTGCCTCTGTTTCATCAGTTGTAAAAGAAGGAAACTCCTAGTACCACTCTCTAATGTTGTGGGGATTAAATAAGCCAATGTATGTGTAAAGCATTACGAAGGTAGAGTCTGGCACATGCATTGGAAGGCATCGCCATGTAAGTGTTGCTGTCATCCAAAAATGAGGCAGGGAGACAGGGCAGGCTTGTCATTCTGTGGAGAATGGCCCTCCTGCAGGTGGTCTTTAAGAATGTTCTTGCTGGAAAATGCTGCCTCTTTGCTCCCCCAACAAAGGCTAGGGAGAGGGGGAGTAGGGAGTAGGGAGAGGGGGAAGCAGGGAAAATTTAAAAGAATCATTGGAGAGGCTACCCCAGAGGCCTTGAGCCATCCATCCCTCCTCTGCAAACCCCACTCTGGGCTATTACCAGTGCTCTACTGTGCATGCAAATGTGATGCTGCATTAATAAATCAATTCCTGACCATTAGGAACCTGTAATAATTCCTTTCACTTGGCCCTTCAAGTCATTTTCACACAGCACCTAATTAACTAATAGCTAAGATTTGAGGCTTCTTTCTCCTGGGTAACTCCTCATTGAATCGCTTCCTCCGACTTCTTTCCTGCTTCTCCGTCATCTCACTGGGGGAACTGAGCAGGCCAGGAGATGGTTAAGCGATTAGATTGTGGGAACAGGGGCCACTCTGCTAATGGAGAGGAGGGATAAATAAATACATTTAATTTAATTAACCAAACAATCAATCATTACTTAAATGTAATATGCTCTCGTAAGGTCTAATCTTAATGTTTCTATTAGGAAAGGTCAATAAATCATAACATTCACCTCTGGGGGAGGCTCTCCGCATGGCCCCTCAACCCACTTACATATTTGCAAAATATTCATATTCTTCAAGATCTAGTGCTGTCTTATTCATTATTCATCTAGCCCACAAATTTACTGAACATCTACCGTATGCCAGGACCTGAGCTAGGAGTGGGGATACAATTAGGAACCAAGAGCTGTAATCTCCGAAGGAAGCACACCCTGGGGAGAGGAACCAGGTAAGCTAGGAATCAGGAGGACAGGAATGGAAGTTCTATTTCTATTTCTGTTTAAACTTGTCTCCTATTAATTTCTAGTTTTGTGTCTTTATGAAGATTATAATATATGAACACAGAAATACAAGGGTGTTATTTTTAAATAAATAAACACCTAACACTCAAGGGCACATACTCTAAAATTTTTATCCATGGGGTGCCTGATCAAAAAAGTTAAGAGACTGCTGGGGTAGAGTGGTGGTTTCTCAGAGAAGTCAGTGGAAAGTGGGTAAGAGAATTAGAAAGCCCTGGAGGGAACTTTCCTTTTTTTTAATTTATTTATTTATATAGATTGTACATCATTGTTCATTTTTATTTATTTTTTTCCTTCTACCCTTGCATTTTATTTTGTTTATTTATTTTTAAAGATTTTATTTATTTTTGCATAGAAGAACTGGGGTGCAGGCCAGAGGTGTGGGGGTGAGAGGATTCACCAGAGACAGAGTGGGGAGCAGAACAGGCAGATCTACTGACATACACTGCTGAGGGGAGCTACAACCCAAATGCCCAAAAATAGATGACTGGATCAAGAAGATGTGGTACATATACACCATGGAATATTACTCAGCATTCAAAAAAGATAAACACATGCAATTTGCAGCAACATTGTTCATTTTTAAACAATGTTTGCTTCCCCCACCCCCGCCTTCAGGTGTAGTCCCTACCTGGAGGGAACTTTTGAAAATACATTTGTCTGTCTCCCTTCCAGAAACCAGCAGAATCTTAGAAGAGGTAGAAATAATTTGTAACTCTTACAAAAGCTCCGGCAATTTCCCATACTCATCCTACCCTACCTTTCTCTGACTTCTTCCAGGAAGGCTCAACCTGCACTGGGTTCTCAGGTCTAAGAGTAGGCTAGAATCAGGTCCAGCACTGAGGATATTTCTACCTGGTACCTCTTTTTAGAAGGATAGGAGAAGGAGTCGTGAGTGCTGGACCCAAAGAGCTCTGGCCTCTTCACGTTAAGGTAACCTTAGCCACATGAAGTCACTCACTTCACTTGGCAAGGGTCTAAGGGGAATTTCAGGTTCTTTGTCACATTGAGACAGGTTCTTTGTCACATTGATTTCAGGTTCTTTGTCACACAGGCATTCAGAACGAGAATGCCTGTGATCTCGCCCCTCCAGGCAGGACAAGAAGAGCTAGGTTGGTCAACCACAGACCTCACCACATTTTCTGCAGTCCTTTCCTCCCAACTCCAGCACCCCTGCATTCCTTCACCAGTACCTTCTGCCCTCCTGATGTCTCAGTGGCACAAGAGGAATTTGCACTGAGAAAAATTATACCCTTAGCCTGTCCAGAAGGCTGATCTAGGAAAGGAAGAATTTAGGAAGGGACAGATATCTCTGTGAAGCAAACCCTTCAGTTAGACAAGTCAGTTACAAGCCCACCCTGGCCTGTTAGGTCATTGTGCCACACTCACAGCCTTGCTCAGGGCACAGTATTAAGTTTCTCTAGGGCTGTCGTATAATCAGACTAGACCTGGGTACCTGCCCCAAAGGCATCCTACCTACCTATAGGCCAGCTGTCAATCCTTGAGGAAGCCTGACATAAGGAATTTGACCTATCTGACTAACTTCTTCCATGTGTGACCAAAGAGAGAACTGGAAATTTAGCCAGAAATGATGCATAGGGAGGAACTGGCATGTGTGATAGGGAAACCACCTGGCCCAAGGGAGCTCAAGGTGGGAAACCAGTTCTCAGACCTTCCTTGGCAACTGACAACTCTGGTTCTGTTTCTGAGTTACCAAAAGCCCATTGTTCTCTTCGTGGTCTGGGGAGCTGTGATTCCTTGCAAACAACAAAGCCAAACTTGAGCTTAGTTGGCTGCTTCCCACGCAAGGCCTCTAGATACAGAATGGGAGCAGCTATTAAAGAGGGAGGAGCATAGAAGGGCACCATTTTCCCTTCCTCACTTACATGCAGCTGCCTTGGATTACAAGTCCCAGTTCACCATGACCCACACTTCCTGAGCAAGGGAACCACTGGGAACTAGGGACTAAGTGGCTAGGTGAACCTATATAAGATGGAAAGTGGATGGGCCTATCTCACTCCTACTTCTGCAGCCCAGCCTGAACCCTGGAAAGGAATACTGCTGGTTCTGCTGGAAAGGAAACTTGGAGGAGATACATGGAGGAGAGACATGTAGAGATACTTAGAAGAGGTACTTGGAAGAGACACAGAGGTGAGAGGCTTGTACAGAGGCAGAGAAAATGGCAGCCATTATCTTGACATGTTCTTTGATTTTGTGTTTCCTCTCTTTTTCTGTCCCAGCTTTCTGCAACCTGTCTAACCCCTTTTTGTGGTTCTCTGCCAGAAGGTGCTTTAGACTGTGTAAAGTTTTGGGCCTCAGTGGCCCCTCTTCAGCCAATCCTGTTTGGCTGGGCATTTGCCCAAGAGGGAATGTGTAATTTTGAAGTTTTGTTGGCAAACTATTATAAGGAGTATTTTCTTCTTTTCTCTCTGTATGCACACTAATTCTATTAGAGATTTTCACACCAAGAGTCTGTTTTATTTACCTTTGTCCTGCAGATGGCTGAACCCCTTTCAGAGCATGTACCCCCTAACAGTTTGGGTACTCCTCATTCATGCACTAACACAGTCATGTGTGCAAATCCCATCATGTCAGAGCAGCAACACAGCCTGCTCCAGAGACCACAGGAACTCGGCGTCTGTCCCCATGGTTTCTAGGGTGACCTGAACAAAGAGAGCTATCTGGGGTTCAGCAAACCATTAACTCTACTCTATGAAAAGCAAGCAACCCCTCTGAGAGGAGTCAGCAGAAGGCATGGATGGAAAACTAATTCCCCTAAGGAAATTTTGCCTCCTCTATCACTAGAACCAAGACCAGCTTGGAGGTCAGACTCACTCCATCTTCATACCCATCTCAGGCTTCACAGTGAACTGTGACCTTTTCCACTTTCAGTTTTGCCTGGATGTTTACAGCAGTGGAATTTCCTCCACTAAAAATTTTTGATCAGGAAAATAAAGAAGATTCCCATTTCCCCTGAGGGGTTGTCTGAGGCCTAGCCCTCCCTGGAGGTAGCCCAGGTTAAGTGAGCCTCTTTCTGAGGCTACTTCAGTCATGGTAACTTGTCTCTGTGCTCATATGGTCTCTTGTTAAAAGTAAATCAGATATATTGAATTAGGGATCTATCTTATTCTATTGTGACCTAGAAAAGAAGTTGATTCTGCCTGCCACCCTCTACTGTATGTTCTCTACCTTAGAGAACCAGAGCAACAGGAGTCACAGTTCAGGTTCCTTAGGCAAAGTGTACCATTTGCACTAAATGAGGGAACAAGACATTGAGTGGGACCCTTCCAGCTACCCAGGATTGTGGTCAGGACCCAAAGTGAGGTCAAGAAAGGCAAAGTACACTGAGGACCTTACATTCAATGTTCAGAATGACCAAGCAGGTCACACAGGGCAGGCTAAGAGGAGCCACAACCCGCTTACCTACCACCCACTCAAGTCCACACAGAGAGGGTCCAAGGACCAAGAAAGAAGGTCACTGGTCTTAAGAAAACTCTAGGTATCATGAGGGTGCTTTTTGTGCCCCAAAGAGGAGGGAGGGAGAGTGTAAGAACCAGTAGTAGAGGGTAGAGATACCAAAAAGAAGAAAAAACAAGCAACTCTTCCTCTGCTACGTAACAACTTTGCTGTATAACCCACTAAAGTACAGAGTAATTAGAAATTCTTCAGAAAACACTCTGGAGTCTAGGAGCATGGTGCAACATCCTTCCTCCACTTTGAAGGACCAAAAGATGCTGCTTGGCATCATTCCTTTACATTTGGAAACACTTTTGAGCAGAGATACTGAATCCATTTCCAGGGCTTCTATAAAAAAAATAGTCTTTAAACAACAGATGTTTATTGTCTCACAGTTTGGGATAATAGAAGTTGAAATCAAGGTATGGGCAAGGCTGTACTCCCTCTGCAACCTGTAGAGAATCCTTCTCTGCCTCCCCAGTCTCCTGGAGGCCTTCCAGAAATCCTGGGTGTTCCTTGGCTTGTGGCAGCAGCACTTCCATCTCTGCCTTCATCAGCACATGGCATTCTCCCCATGTGTCTGCCTCCACATGGTTGTCTTTCTGTAAGGACATTGGTCATATTGGATTAAGGGTTCACCCTACTCCAATATGACCTTATCTTAACTCATTACATCCAGTGGCCATATTCCCAAATAAGGTCACAGTTTGAAGTACTGGGGTTAGGGCCTCAACACACATTTTGAAGGAAGCAATTCAACCCTTAACAGAGTTATGCATTATTCCCAGAGATTTCTGAAAGTTGGAAGTTCATTGGACTGACCAATTTCAATTAGACTTGAAGGGACTATAACACAGAGTACCTAAAAAGAAGGTAGAGTAACTCCCCTCTATGCTTGTTCATGCTCCTTGGGCCCAGGTAAGAGTACTCCAGGTAGTCCTGTGATTGCACAGAAAGGAACAGGTGGTTAAAAGAAGGACAGGAACCAGGGGTTCCAGGATAGTCACAGTCAGAAAAGGGATGTACTCACCTTCTGGGCCCGAAGAAAGACTCTTACATGTATTCTTCCTTTTGAAGTTGGCCAAGGTGAAGCTGAACATTGTCCCCAAGAAAGTCAGGCCAGGAACTCCTCCCAGACTGACAAACAGGTTGGGTAGGGAAAACTCTGCTTCCTGAACACTTCCTTCCAGCCCCTAAATCCCTTCTAAGGAAAGGGAGGAAAGATCTCAGAAGGAGACTACACCCTTCCTCCCACTCTCTAAGCAGCTAGGAGCCAAAGCTGGAGGGAGGAGACAAATCTCGCATTGTACTTGAAGTTTTGAAAAGTAAACAAAATTGAGTCCTAAATGCTTTAATGAGACTGCAAATGACTCAAAGTGACAGGAGATCAGCACCTCGCCAAGGACTCATTAAGGCATGCACTAACCAGAGACCCAGAGAGTCTACACCATATAAATAAAAGCAACAACTGAGGGGTAAAAATATGCTGTTCAAGATCACACTCCAACAAATTGCTCTTCCTCCACCAAGCTTCATTGAATTTATTCTAACTTGATTTGTAAAAAGCTGCATGCAGGCTGATGCCCCACCAGAGGCCATGCCCTCCGTGGTCTGCTTGGGACCTGAGCTCAGACAACCATCGTCTTGCAACAAACACATGTCCAGGTAAGAACAGGTCCTAGCGCTCATCACTCCAAAACCAGACACTGAACAACACTGGCAGCAGCACAAAGAGTTCTTTGTCCATATCCATCCTCAGATAATCTCGATACTCCTCCCCTCCTTTGTAAGTGTCAGAAATCAGAGAACTTTGAGCAAGGAAGCACAACCAAGTAAGAGTTGTCATTCTACCAAGAAGCCAGCTTCATGATTAATTTCACAAAACCAAGCTTTTTTAGAGTGACACTGAGCAAGGAGAAAAATGCTATGGGCAAACAAGTTCTTGTGCTTGTTACCACTGCAGGACAAGATGTGAAGAAGCCCAAGTACTGCCACTGGGAAATATGCTGGAAGGAGTAGGAGGAGTTTGCTCACTGCTAACAGCAACAGCAAACAAAAATTTCAGTTCAAAAATTTCAGGTTCAATTAGTAGCAACTCAACAAATATTTATTAAGAATCTAATGGTATAAGGGGCCTCCCCTGGTGGTGCAGCAGTTGAGCGCTGGGTTGCGAAGCTGCCCGCAGCCTCTGCAGTACCGGTTTGATCCCGGGCTGCTCCCCGGCCACCGGAGGAGGGTCCCACATGGTGCGCAGACCTCTCCTGCCGCCTGCTGCTCCCCTCAGCAGTGTACTTTGGTCCTTCTGCTTGTTCTGCTCCCCGCTCTGGTTCTGGTGAATTCTCTCACCCTCCCGTGCTTCTGACTGTACCCAGTGCTTGTATAAATAAATAAATAAATCTTAAAAAAAAAAAAAAAGAATCTAATGGTATAAGGCATAGTGTTCGGCAGCTGGGATTATAAAAATAAATAGGCAGCATCTCTGTACTCAAACCTTGAAATCCAGGAGGAAGGACCTAGGAAAAGTCCACAAGTAACTATTGATATAAAGCAAGACAATATAATATGTACCATAAAAGATATAAATTAATGCTGTGGAATTTTCTAGGGAAATATGAATTTTCTGGTTAGGAAAATCAGGAGATGCTCTAGGAAGGAGGTAGTATTTGGACAATGGATAACAAAATTTATTTTTTAATCGATGATCCATGCACATGATTTTTTTAGAATTAAAAGTTTTAATTAACTGTGAGAAACTCAAAGCTTCCCTCTAAGATCAGGTACAAGAGATGGATATCCCTTGTCACCACTCCTTTTCAACATTGTACTGGAAGTTATGTTATAGGGCATCCCCAATATTGAACGGGTTGCCTGGCTGTGGGTCCTCACCCACGCGCTTAAAAGGGACTTATTAATACTCCACTACAGGCACACACAAAAGGTTAATAAAAGGTTTATTTACAAGGGAAAAGGAAATAAGGAAAATGTACAACTCAGGGAGAAATTAGGGAAATAAAGTCTTTAATGCATCCTACACGATCCGATGACCTGGAAACCAAAAAAGCACTCTCAGAGCTGGCCGGACGCTGTGAGCTGGCGGAGAGCCAAAATGGGGGAACCCCCTCCAAAGCCCACGTGTCTGGCTTTATACCAACCTGGCTGCTTAACCCCACCCTCAGGTCCCAGCCACCTTCCCTTTGGTGGTGATGGGATTTGGAGTTCTCAGTGTCTTTGGCTTTGGCCTGGGGTAGGGGTGGAGTCCACAAAGCCTGTATGGAATTAGATTTAGGACATCCTTTTCCCCCTAACAGTTATAGCTAATGCAATAAGACAGGAAAAGGAAATATGAGGTATACAGATTGGAAAGCAAGAAATAAACCTACCTTGTTCACAGATGATAAGATTGTCTATGCAGAAAATCTGAAGGAATTGACAAAAAAAAATTCCTGGAACTAATAAGTGATTATAGCATGGTTGCAGAATACAAGGTTAATAAGTAGAAGCAATTGCTTTCCTTTACACTATCAAATGGTAATGCACAAGTGGAATTTGAATTAAAAACAGAATACCATTTCTTAGTCATGCCCACTGACACACACTCATGATGGATTGTTTCCTTGTGAGTTTCTAATTTTGAGCCTATATTCAATGGAACTCCATTTTCAGGAATCCCACAAAGCCTGGGTTTAGGGTGTGTCCTGATCCCACGCCCTGAGAGATTCTGTTTTCGCTTTTGCCAATCACCCCAAAGGTATCATCAGCCTTGGGCCATTTGAATATTAATATTTTAGCCTGAGGATTCCTGGACCACCCAGATGGTATAAATTAGAACCAAACTCAGGCAAGGTACAGGCTGTGACTACAAATTCTCAGGGGGTGCTTTCCCCTCTCCAGACCAAAGCCAAAGCAGAGAAGCATCCTGGCTAGCTCCTTCCATTGATGAGTGGATATTTTTTAGTCCATTATTTTACTGAGAATATAGCCCATAAATGATGGGTTTTAAACAAGAACCTCAGTTCCAGTCCCCCTGCTGTACAGGCCCCAGCCTTTGTCTTCTAGCAGGGTGGGACCCAAGCCCTAGTGTTACCAGGTCTTCTTCCTCCTAGGATGGCCAGTCTCTGATCACACATTCACCAGACTGGCTTTCAGTTCCCCCTTCACTTTTGGCCCTGGGGATTTCTTCTACTTTTTTATAGCTCATTTAGTGTTTAAAGGGGTATTAGTTATATCATATCCAGGATTTCTGGGTGTTTTGTAGCAAAAGAGTTTCTAGGGTATATTAGTCCACAATGTTAGCAAATTAAAGTCTGATCCTCCTTGGATTGCTGCTTCCTTATAGTTTGGTTATTCAGACACTTCATAACTCCATATGAATAATTTTATTTCCTCTCTGGACTTAGCTTCTCCGGTAAATAGCTGGCCTTTTCACAACTCTTAATTCAAATCTCTGGGAATTGCACCTGACTGGATCAGCAGAGCTCTTCACCACGCGACGCACAGCCCTAAATTGCAGTTTTTGAGTCAGATCCAGTTACATACAGCTGGAGGAGGAGCAGGGTCTCATGGCCTAATACTGCCTTGAACAGTGTAATGTCCTTAGAAGGGCCTGTGGATACAGTGGGTGTGGCCATTGACATGTCTAACACAGTCCCCTCCCAGCGCCATCAGAACAAGATGCCATCATTGCTTGAATAGCATTTTACCTAGGAACAAATATAAATGAAGAGAGTTGCACAGCCCCTAGCCAATGGTGAAGGTTAACATAGCTCAGCTTGAAAGGCAATCTCTAATGGACTGCAGGTCAAAGTTTTTGTCAATGACTTAGACACTGAGATCAAAGTGTTTATAAATTTGATGCATGACACTAAGTTGAAAGCAACAGAAATGAGGTTCAAATGATTTGGACTGATTAGAATAAACAAGTTTAAATCTAAGAAGGATTATATAAAGTCCTGAAGTTATGTCAAAACACCAACTATGAAGCATAGGATGCCTGTGCCCTGACTTGGCAGCAATTCCTGGACAAATGAACTGGGGGTTTTAGTGAACATAATTTCAACCTTACTCTGGCAAGTCCTACTTGAATCCTCCTGACTTTGGTGAAATATACAGAGCCCACAGAGAAAGAAGTCCCCAGTGGGTACCCAACACCATGGACATAGATCCTAAATTACTCTGTTTGCCCTCTGCCCATTCTCTTCTATACCCCAACCATACCACTCTAATTTTATGCACAATTTGGTTCCTGGATTTTTTTAGCTACATCTCTGCTCCTCAGTCATTTGACATGTGGTCTTTGGGTCTCCAAAACCAATTCATATCAGGAACTGTGGAAGAAACCAAAGAAACACATCTCCTGGAGAAGAAACTATAGGCAGCATAATGGGCATCTTTAAATAAAAGACATACCCTGTGTTACTGCAGGCAACAATGACAGAATTAGAAGGGAGAGACACATGAGTCAGTCTGTTCAATATAAGACATTGGTTTTTCAATGAATATGTATAAGCACTCATTATACACAAGGTGACATGTACTTTGGACTCTCCATTGGAGGGATTTTCCAACAGATGGAAATAATTCCATCTGGCTATATTGTTGGAGGGGGAATCCTTGACTTTTCCCAAGAATACTGCAGAGTTGATTCCTTCATTGGTTAGACTATGACCCATAAAGACCCAGTTAGTGGTAAAATGTTGGTTCTGTAATATGATGTTCAAGTCAGGCCAACAGTCTCAGAAAAGAACTGACAAGAACTAATCCTTTTGCATGCAGAAAAGGTGGTAGACCACAACTTGTCTTCCAAAGGGGTCAGAATGACCTATAAAAACACCTGCATATACTTCTTTCCCTAGCCTCTTTGCTTCTGGCCCTTTAAGTTAGCCCAACCCATCCACAGGCTGCACCTGCAGAAGATAAAGACTAGCTGAAAATAGCCACGGTTGTTCCCAGCAGTTTCCCAGAATCTCCATTCTCTGATTTGGCTCAGATTCCATCTCACTCTCCTCAATCTCTTGGCTCTGACTTCACCTCAGTTACTTGAACCTTAGTTTTACTTATTCTATAGACCAGAGAGAGGTTTTCAAACTTCACCTGCATTAGAATCGCCCAGGGGTCTTGTTAAAACACAGCTTGCTGATCTCCAAGCCCAGAGTTTCTAATTAAATAGGGCTGGGATGAGCCCAAGAATTTGCATTTCTAGC